TTTGTTTTTATTTTATTTATATATTTTTAAAGCTTTGCCACATGATAAATTAGCTAGCTTTGCTACATTATAAATTATGAATGCAGTACAAATTGTTCTGTTTAGAGTAGTGTTGCCTGGATAGAAGGACACTTAAAAATGATTAAGTCAACCATTAACCAAGTAGATTTTTACCACAACACTGGTCTCATGTGGAGTTTTCCGAATTTTCTTCGTCTTCGTAACACCTAAATAGGATCCAGTCCTTAAAGGCATCACCTCAGCATATCGCCTACATTCTGTTTACATTTTTTTAAGGTTTTGATTTTAAAATTTTAATTTTCTTGTTGAATATAAATAAATTTTCAAATTTTAGTTTAATTTAGAACATAAAATATTTAAAGGTGAACCATAAATTTCTATGGGGAAGGATGTGGATTGTTATATAAGGATACGCCTGTGCAAAAATCCAACACTATCATTACGAAATACGGAGATTGAAAAACGAAAATAAAGGACAAATTTTGCTAGTTCTGGTTTCAATAAAGGACAAGGACAATTTAGCTGAAATAAAGGACGTCATTACGGGTGTGTTTGAATAGAGGGGGGGGCATTTTTTAATGTTGAAATGGAGAACATGTCCTCTGTAAATTTACAAAAGGAAGACACATTCTCATTTTGGAGGACGTGCCCTGCTTTTGGATATCATATAGTAACGATAGGAATCGATCATAAATGTATGCATTTATGATCATAAATGCATACATTTATGATCGATTCAGATTCCATTTCATCTTGCATCTCTCTAAGACCATTTAAGTTCTTATACAAGGGGTGCAAAGGTAGGTAGACAGCTTTAATTATGGAAAAACATAGAAGAAAAAATATTAAATCTTTTGCGTAAATCTCAAAAAGTAATTAAAAATTTGAAAATAATAATAGTATGTGTGTGTTTAAGCTTACTCAAGGAAGCGAAGATGGGCCAAATTCACTCTAAACCAAAAATTTTATTGTAAATACATAAATAAAACTTGTGATAATTGCTTAATGTGATCACATAAAGATAAATAAATCAAACTTTTTTACATGTGTACAAGTCTTACTAGATTTATCTATAAAGGTAGTATTGTGTACACACCTATTTCTGGTGTCTTCGTTACGATGATACATCACTGTGTGTTTTTATATGTGTACATAGACTTTATATGTGTGTGTCTTATGTATTGTAGTTTATGTAAGTGTGCTGAATATAGATGTATGTATGCATTAATGTTTATTTATAATTATTTTAAATATNATTTAACAATCTTTATCTCAAATTATTATCACAAATAAATAATAATAATAATAATATTTGTTATTTCTTTATAGCCTATACATAACTTAGATACCTATTTACAATAAAGATCCCGGATATACACGAAGGTATACACAGTAAATCCGGATTATGAACGACAATAAAACATTAATTAATGTTGAAGGAATGAATACAAAGCATATGTTACACCGACACATCCGTATCAAGAAGTATAAACATTTTTCCAATCTGGAAAAAAAATTAATTTCGTTCGAGGAGTGAAACCATTCAGGAAAAAGAAAGTCTTCTGCAATTCCTTTTTTTGAATCTTTCACGAAATAAAAATATTTTACAATTGTTCTTTTCGTCGTGTTTCATTCTGTATTTTATAAAATATCTGGTATAGTTCGAAATTCTATTTGTATATGGAAGATATCACTTGGCTTGTTAAATGCTTTTGAGCACATTCAACTGTATTATATTGATGTACTGTGATGGCTGATATTACCATTTCGAATCGAGACTATCGTCGGTTAGATGAGGATACCTCCTGAATAATTGTTCATTGATGGGATACAACGTCTTGCAATTCCCTGGAGTTTCTGCTATGCCCCTAAAATTTAAATACAAAGATATACAGTATATACATTCGGATATCCCGTACGTACAGTACAGTCGACCCCCTATAACACTGTTGATTTTTCCGTTTTATATGAATTTCATGTTGTACGAGTCACTTATATTTTACAAATAAGTGTGCCGGGCTGTGAATGGCTCACGTATTTGTAAAATCTAAGTGACTCGTACAACATGGAATTCATGTAAAACAGAAAAATCAACAGTGTTATAGGGGGGTCGACTTGTACATGTAAAAGTCTGTAATTGAGGTAAGTGCTCTTAATTCCATTATCTTCGATTTAATTTTAATTGGATTACATTAAAGTTAGACATTTAACAACATAAAAATACAGTCAAACCTCTGAACAACGACAACTGACAGAACACTAAAAATTGTTCTGGCAGTTGCTTGGAGATTATTCTGTATGTTTAAAGATGGCCGTTTTGAGGTTCGACTGCATTAAAATATCTACTTTATTGTCCAAAATAAACATATCTGAAACATTGGACGACTCCACAATTATCAGGGCCAAATTTATACATTAGTTAAGAAAACTTTAGCTTAAGGCCTCACGCTGTGAGGGCACAATTTAGGGTACCACACTTCGGGATGATCTCATAAATTATAGATTAGTGGCACGAGTCTAAATCCGACACTGCCAACTTCCTGCTATTTTTGTCAAATAAAACTTACCCTGTTCGTCGATGAGTATCTCTTGGAAAGTATGCTCTAAGATGCTTTATATTTTTGGCTAAATCTCGCTTTTGAATAGAGTAGGGTTCCGGAAACTGTGTTGGAACGTGACGCGTTACGACTGCACTTTTCCGACTGCTGATAGCCATTCGATGAATGGGATCCCGTGTTTGAGAATTTCGTTTTCTCTTCACGTATAGAAATGCAAAAACGCTAAACACGTGTTCGATTATCTCAACAACAGTTATAGCCGATACTCCAATGTATAAACCCAAGCATCCTCCCAAATCAGCAAACAGTTGAGGAAGCTGCAAGAAAAAAGATGGTTCTAGATATTTGTAGTTATATGTTATAATGTATAATTTAAAATATGATTACCGTATATCCTGGAATATCTTTAACGGATAGATAATTCATTTCTTGAATATACACGTGAACTCTCAAGAAATTTTTCCTGAAAATAAAATTCAAGTAGTTCTGTAATGTATATTATAAAATTCTCAAGTATAACGCATGTCGGAAAACTTTTATAATGACGTATTAATATTTGAATTTTTGATACGATTGCACGTATTCGTGTGACAATAAATGAGTAGCGCTTCCAGAAGAGTCCTGGTTCGTGCTTACAGAGTATTGAACTCTTCTAATTCTTGAATGGCTTCTTTTATAAGGCACAGAGAGCAGTTGCGCGTTATATATTCGAGGGACCTCAGGCAAATTTGAATGATGTGGCCCCATATACAGTATTGACTTCAAACATTTTTGTTCCGAGAATTTTGAGGAAAATACCCCGGTATCCTCATTTGTTTTTTAACGTGACTTCTGCTCTGTGCCAGTGAATACTACGCTTGCACCACACCGACAATGTTGGATCCCCAGTATGGCCCAAATTTAAATTACGATATTCTTAGTACAGTAATGAGTTAACAAAAGATTTGTTTATGGATCCCTGTTAGATGGGAACCCAGGCAATAACCCTTTTGAGGTGTCAATATAGAATGATGTTGCTTTTATATCAGTACAAGATGGAGACTATGCGTATGCTGTACTGCTCGACCTTATCATCGCTATGTAAAGCATATCTGTACCCTACTCAAGCCTTTTTGTAACTCTTACTACTGTATTAGACCATAAAGCTAGGAATAAAATATATTTTTTTTTCGATTCCATCTTCATTTTCTTCTATGATTTTCGTTCTTATTTTGATATTACATTGCACAATATAATATTATATAGGGTAGGGGGTTAATGGGTTAAGGCAAAGCAACACATGGACGACTTGCCAAGGAGAGTACCACCCGGAAGGATTTTCTATGGAAAAATGACCTGTATTTAGGTGTTAGACACGTGAAGAAATCCGGGAATCACGTGGACAACCCATTGGTGAGGTACCAACTACCAGTGTTCAATGGTTTTATCCACTTGCCATAATAAGATATTAGGCGCCTTATATTTTGTAATATAAATGTATTAAGTGGAAAACCGTAGTGGGTTTAAGTGGTATATTTATTTGTATGATTAAATTGAAAGTAAATCTAATTTTAAGCCCAATAATCAATGAAATTGTAAGATAACTTTATCGATTTTCGTAAAAGTCAATGAAGTTATTTCTGATTAATGTGTATCCCTTTTGTTACATAACTAAACTAAATAAGATCGACTAAATCTATGCCAAAGAAATACTTACCATTTGTATCAATAGCTCACCTGAAATATTTTCTGTTAATTTGTATTTCTTCTTTGGTATCTGTAGTGTTATTGGAGTTGGAAGAAGATAAAGACTGTCCTAATCTCTTATTGAGATTGGGCCAACGTTTTAAAGCGTATTGTTGCTGTTGAACATTTGGCCATTCCGACTGAGACACCGTTAGGTCGTATCGAATGTCACTGAAAAATAATTAAATACTTTTTTTTATCTTAATTAAAATAGTATAATAAGTTTTATTAATAATATTGAAGTAAATAATAAATACTCTATTTGGAGAAATATTTAAATTAAAGAGTAAGTCCTGAAGAAGTGTTCCGTGTTTGTGATTTTTCTTGAAGAAATGTCCGTTTTCAAGCCTTATCACAGGGATATTAGCCTAAGTATACGCACCTCTTCATATTTACGGCAGCAGCCTCAAAAATGTATGTGGGCTGTCTTGATCTGTAAAGGACCCTATCTACTTTTGAATAATGGTCAAAATAATTGGCAATATTTAAGCATTTATTTGTAAGAGATGTTCCATATTTATTACTAAGCGACAAATGATATCATATTTCAGTATTTTCCAGAGAAATGTCAATAATTGAATATTTATTCTGAATGTTTTCCAAGTAAGGTGGCAGCTTATTGCTCTGCAGGACGGGGATCGGTCATGACGAATCCCAGGACATTTTCTGAGGCGACGGTCCCTCATCACTCAGCCGCTCCATTACGGACCTGACCGAATCCAGATGCGTATGGAAAAAATGTCCTATTAATACTGGCAGCACTAAAATTAATACAGTGAAAACTGCTTAGGCGACCACCTGCATTGGACGGGCACCTGTCAAAACGGGCAAAAATTTCTGGCACGGAATTTTCAATTTACATAATAAGTTACCTGTATTAAACGACCACCTGTCTAAAAGACCACTTTTTGAAGGAACCGTGGGTGGTCGCCATAGACAGGTTTTACTGTATATATATTTAAATAACAATTTAGAGAACCATACAATTTGCATAAAAGAATATAGTACAAAATGCAAAAGATATAACCATTGTTTGAATTTCTAATAAAATATTTTTATGGCTTTATTCTTGATATTTTAGATATCCACTGTTAACTGTAAGAGGTAAAAGGAAAATTTGACATCATAAACGTTATGGTTGCCAAAGCACGTGAGGCACAAGAGTTTCGAATCTTCGGGTGCCCGAAAATTGAAAATAATAATAATAATAATGAATCAGTTTACAATTGCAATTTATATATAATTGTGTAACGAACATTAGTCTAAGGGCTCCAATCTTCTATGCCTAGGCTCCGGAAGGTCTTAAGCCACCACTAATAGTTACAGAGCTTGGGAGTGGACTTCNCTTTATTCTTGATATTTTAGATATCCACTGTTAACTGTAAGAGGTAAAAGAAAAATTTGACATCATAAACGTTATGGTTGCCAAAGCACGTGAGGCACAAGAGTTCCGAATCTTCGGGTGGCCGAAAATTGAAAATAATAATAATAATAATAATGAATCAGTTTACAATTGCAATTTATATATAATTGTGTAACGAACATTAGTCTAAGGGCTCCAATCTTCTATGCCTAGGCTCCGGAAGGTCTTAAGCCACCACTAATAGTTACAGAGCTTGGGAGTGGACTTCAATGACATCTAATCACTTGTTTAAAGTGACCGATAAGAGGCAAACATGGACAATGATGATGGCCAAGATCCATCTAGGATATGGCACACGAAGAAGAAAAGAATGATGCAAGTTTGCAACTTACTAAAAAAAAAAAAATTGTGAAAGTAAGCGTTATGCATCCATCAAGAAATTATATAAAATGTGCAAAATTATTCATTTTTTTTTCAATTAATTTCGAGATGTTTTATAGAACTAAGTCAGGAAACTGTTAAAGGCTTGAACTATATATTGGAGCAATAAAAACGGTTAATTCAAGGGAAAATCGCAATAAAATTGTTTACTAACGGCTTTCGTAGCATGCGCAATGTACAGGTCAGTTAACCGGTCATTCCCTTATCGCCGTTAGTACAATGATCCCATTCAATTCTTTGTTTGTTCACTAAATGGACAAGTCGTATAAGTCCCGTCAATCATTTCATTCGTCTAAATAGTATCTCAGACTGGAAAGAAAAGTCGAAAAAAAGCTAAAAGTTCTTACTTACGTACAAGCTGGTTTGCATAGTTTCTGGCATTCGTGAGTACTGGAAGCTCGGGTGAAAGATCGATAAAATCCACTTCTACATCGAGCTACAGTTAAAAAAACAATAAAAAAAGATAGTTTATAAATAAATAAATAAGATTAATTTTGTAAATTTAGCTATCAAACTTGCTAAAAACATTACTTTTTTCATAAGTCCCGATTTCATGTGTTTACGGGCCCTAGAAAAACTGAACTCGAACCCTTTCTTTAGAAGGTTTTAATAGTATTAACACTTAATTTCTTTATCTGATTTCGAATCCTCTAAACCTAAAGCAGACGGGCATTTCCCCGTTTTGCCTAAGCGTAAAAATGGTTACTAAGAGTGTTCATCCCTCTATAAATACAGTAAATGCATGCTTGCTACAGTCATAAAAAAGTCAAAAGGGACCGTTTAGCCTAGATTCTAAATCCAAAATTTACACTTTCACATAAAGATTCATGAATTTTTTATTTCGTTTTATTTATTTTGTTTGTATGCTTTTATTGCATTCAAGTACGTAGGCGTCACTTAAGAACTTATGGAGGTATGTGTGTATGTAACACTACAGATAAATAGCCAAACAGAGAACAAAAAACAAAGTTTTGATATCAAAAATTTATCGCTTAATGGCATCATATTTTTTAATAAAGTTGATGCGACGTGAAAAGAAAAACAAATCTGTCGCGACGTTCTATAATGCATCGTCGGTAGCGCAATTCTGAACCTTAAGTAACAGCGAATTTATCAACTTTTCCATCTTCAATATCATATTTTCTCTATTTTATTATTATTTATCACTCTATATTTAATCACCATTAGTTTTAAAAACATTAAATAAATTCATTAAAAATGTCGCGCTTTTGTAACTGTTATAAAGATAACGAATGCGGATTTTGTAAAAATAAAATTATGAGATAAATTTTAGGCCAAATCTGATTTAATTATATCCCAAAATAACAGAATGCGATTCGGGCTTATTACTTTTTTTTTTTTTTTCCTTCGTCGATTGCCGAAGTTCCTTATCTAGTTACTTAGAAAGTTGTTAATTGTGCGTAACGGAACGCTGTTCCTTTATTTGTCTTGTTTTTTTACAGAATCGCAAAAATCGATAGTTGTTCTTCGTGATGACCTACATAACCACACGCTATTTGGTGATTGACGCCATACTTAATAATAATAATAATAATAATAAACCTAAGAGGCGATAATGACGAATAATTTTTTTATTTCATTACGTAAAAATTTTTTAAACTAATTTTTTAATGACGTTTCATAATCTCGTACGCTTAAATTCTTTTAAAATAGAAATAGATATTTTAATTTCTAAATAAACAAAAATATATTTAAAAATAAAATAAATATTTTACTTATGTTAATTAATCGAATCGAAAATTAAATAATTTTTTAATAAATTTAAATATGTATAATCTCGTTAACTTGTTTGAACTTGTTCAAAATGGCGGATATATATATTTTTTTCTTTTGGTAAGAGAAATTAAAAATGATTCGTTCTAAAAATAAAAAAATCAAATTTATATAATTTATTTAATATTAAATATAAAAATGAAATGATGTATCGGAGATTTAAATATATTATAGCCTTAATTAATTAATATCGAAGGTATTTTGCGTGGTCGATCCGTTTGTCTGTTTACATAAACTTTCAATAATCTGAGTAATTTTTAATTAAGTTTGTTTACAGATAAATTCTTCAATGTGAGAGCCTCGTGAAG